CACACACACACACACACACACACACACACACACACACACACACACACTCCCAACGCATGTACATTCGCATTTTTACTCTCTCACATTCACCTTATTGCATCCATTATGTATATATATATATATACTTGTAAAAGGCTTAAATTGAATAAAATTATTATTATTATTATTAATTCGTCTGTATTTTTTTTGTTGATAACTCCGCCATTTGTGAACCAATTTTCATGATTCTTTTTTTGTTGGAAAGCAGGTACCTCAGATGTGGTCCCATTTAAATTTAAAGAAAATATTCCACCTCTAAGGGAGGCAAACTGGGGGCTGAATGACTTTTCAGGTCGGTTTTTTTAACCGGAGGTTATTTGTGAACATGAAATGAAAGGAAAGCTGTCCCTGCACTATGGTAGCATCTTTTTTGGAAAACTAAATTAATAACTCCAATTTGTCCGGCAAATAATCGCTGTATGGCAGCACATTGATTGAAATTTCAATACAATTTCAAAACTTCATAACTCGCAATAATAGGTATTGATGATATTGAACTTTCAACGATATGAAAAACAGGGTAAAGTTTAAATTATATTAACAATCCAGAATTTGTTATTTCCTTTTAAATTTGAAACTACGACCAATCATTATCAAGATTTTGTAGTTATTTAAATTAAGAATATGTAAGTTTCGGCGACATCGGTTCTGATAGTAGTCGAAGCTTAAGGCACTTCCACTGTTTTTTTCTTCCGTGCTTCTGTCCATTATTTTTATTGCTCTGATGTGTTCCTTCATACGGTCGGCTAAGAAGCCGTGTTTGTCCATTTCCAAACTTGTAAGTGTGTTTTATACTATACAGGGACAGTGACAAATGAACTTAGACCAATTAGATAATACCTACGTAAGTGGTGTATGACATATAAGGATTAACCCTTGCCTAAGTCGTTAGGATCTATTCACTACTGGTTATGTTTATAGTTGTCTGGGTGCGAGAACTGAAGAGCTTAATTGGTAAACATGTGATCCTATTCTCACCCTTCGAAAGCACCTTTTTGTTAAGGAATTATACGTGTTTATAATGTCGAAGAAAGCGTTGTAACGATGTTATGGTAGCAAATATTTTTGTATAATAACAAAATTAAATTTCTTCACAGTTTATCTACACGTTTCGTTCGACGACAACAAAAAAGCGTAGTATATTGAGAAAGAAAAACGCCTTGAATTGGAGAATAGCAAAATCAATAATTTAAATAAATGCTCCTTATAATAAAATTTAGGCGCTATTCTTTTTTCTTCAAAATTAATTTCTTCAAAATTAAATGGGACCACTATGCAGGTACCCTCTTTCCAACAAAAACAGAATCATGAAAATCGGATCACAAATACTGGAGTTATCGCGTAACATACATACAAAAAAAACACAGTCGAATAGAGCACCTCCTTTTTTTGAAGTCGGTTAAAAATTAAACTTCTTCACAGTTTGTCTACACGTTACGTTCGACGACAACTAAAAACAATGAATTTGAGAATTTTTCGAATTTGGAATAAGGAATTCTGTCAAATATAATAATAACACACCGATCATAATCGTTCAAAATACATTTTGGGCATTTTTACATGTTATTATTATTTTGATTGTACCTACCTATAATTAAAATAATAACAAAAATAATATATGCACTTGCTTGTCTAAATATGTGAACTTATTTTTTTTTTATAGCTTTGGAATACCTTATATGTCAAGTTTATATCGGACAATATTACTTGTTACATGTATAACGCATCGATAATGCATGTGTAATGTTTTTATCAAGCTTACACATGCCCTTGGATTCTCATTGGAGTAAACAGAGACTATCGATCGCCATTGTACGTAACTATTTTTTTCTTTAATTCTTTATTCTTGATGTGCATTACCACATCTCAGCTTTGTTGTCGTAATTAGTGGTTTACAGTGTTGCTGACACAATCATTGTAATATTTATTGTATTGTAAAAATTAGTTACAAGTTTTAATTGTGTTTGTTGCTTGTTGATCCAAATAAGTAACAAAAATGTTCAAATGATAATTTCGTCTTTTTTATGATACCAACTGACAGGACGAACAAGTCGTGGACCTGGATATAAGCGACCCGCCTATCCATAACAATTGCATTGCCACTCAGAGCTTTAAAACACAAAGACCGTGGAGCACTGCCACTGCATCCGTCACCCTATGACGTAAGTTTATTCGTTGCGGTACCCTGTGTGAAATATTTATCTTATAATTTCTCTTACTAGAAATAGTATCAAGAACAATAATCGGTGCTATTTTTATATTAGTGACTGGCTGTTTTTGATATTAGTCACCATAGCAATAAATTCTATAAGTTTCTAAAATAAGATCCTGTTCATTTCAAGTGACAGGACGAACAAATCGTGCGCCTGGTGGTAATTGACACGCCTATTCAAGACAGTTGCCGTGCCACTCAGAGGTTTAAATAGCAAAGATCTGAGGGGCACTGCCACTGTGCCCGTCACTCTGAGACATAAGTTGACAAGACCGATGTGCCACTAACTTCACTAGCTTTAACTTTACTCTTCAAAACCGGAACGCAGTAATGCTTACATTACTGCTTGGCGGCAGAAATTTATAAGGTGGCAGTACTTCCATGTGCGAACTCTTTCACACAGAGCTCTAACTGCTACTTAGGTTGTGGTAATGTTTTAGTTGCTATGAAATTAGTTACACAAAAACTGTATAGTCATAGTCATGGGGTCGTGGTCATAGAAAAACATAAAGCAATATATATAATAATGTAGATGTAATATTAACTTCTTTTCCAAACAACACGTTATGGCTATTTACTCTATTGCGATATTTTTGTGTAGTCTCTTTAATTTTATTTTCCTATTAACACCATGCATGTGAGCATACTGCGTGACTGGAAAGATTTCGGGATAGTGGGTAGAAAGCAACATACAACTAAAGCAACGCGTCTTTACTTGTATTTTTGTAAGTATTTTGACATTATCTAATAGTTGTACTGTATTTTAATTAATGAATTCAGAGAAAGTGCAGATCGTGGGTTTAAAAACTCAGTTATGGCTATTAGCGTAAAAGTGGTGTAAGCCTTAATGTAAAATTTAATACTTAAGTATTTTTATACATGAAAATAGCATCCACATATAATATTTAATGTACATAGTTTAGCATCACTTAAATTAATATTGTACAAAAAAATAATGTGGGTTACTCCAATACATCGACTATATAACCAGATAATAGAGACGAAATAAAGGCCATATATTCCTGGTAACACATTAGCGATACAGCTCTTATAAATATCACTGCATTGAAATAGAGACAGGCCAACTACTGACCTGTGTGTACGTCTCCGTATATTCCAAAAAATATTCTATATTTATCGTAATAAAGATAATATCTCTAACAATGCCGTGCTGTTCTCTTCGGTGGTGTGGGGTAAACAGCAAAACATCTAATTACAAAACAAATGGAATCAAATTTCATCGGTAATTAAATATGAAATATGTAATATTGCAATTTTCGTCCATTATAGCAAAGCTCAAGTAACTGGTCGATAAGAAGTGAAACAGTTGACGACACCCATTGACGACACCCGTCAATTGTTTCGAACTCGGGCTTGCCAATCGGAGTGCACGCAGTTGTCACAGAAATGATATGGCAGAATAGTTTTCAAACAAATTAATTGTCATTTCGCCTCTATTTCTGGTTATGTACTCGATGCTCCAATCCAACGCTGATAGCCTTAATTAGGTTAACCACATACAAAAAAGATGAAAAATAAAAATATAAAGGTAAAAATATTCATTTAAAGCATTTTATTACTCTACTAAGGACTTATAAATAACTGATTATTTGTTTACATACAAATTCAAATGAAAATGTTTTCCAGTTTGGTTTATAAGGCCGAGAAATTGAATGTTCAAACTATAATGTTTATAAACGACGATTACAAATAATAATAATAATGATAATAGTAATGGTAATGGGAATGGTAATGGTAATGGTAATGGTAACAGTAACGGTAACAGTAATGGTAACGGTAAAGGTAACGGTAATGGTACCGGTAACAGTTATGGTAATGTTAACGGTAATGTTAACGGTAATGGTAGCGGTAATGGTAACGGTAATGGCAACGGTAATGGTAACGATAATGATAACGAATGTAACAGCGACAGTGACAGCGACAACGACAACGACAACGACAACGACAACGACAACGACAACGACAACGATAATGATAAGAATAACAACAATAATAACAATAACAGCGACAACGACAACGATAATGATAAGAATAACAACAATAATAACAATAACAGCGACAACGACAAAGATAATGATAAGAATAACAACAATAGTAACAACAAAAGCAACAGCAACAGCTACAGCAACAATAACAATAATAATGATAATACGAATGATGATGATGATGAATGTGATGGTGATGGTGACGATGATGGTGATGGTGATGGTAGTGATGGTGATGATGATGGTGACGGTGATGATGATGACGTTGCTAGTGATGATGATGGGGATGATGATGATGATGTGGGTTACATTATAAATTATAGGTTATACGCCACACTGCATTTACTTGACTTAGGTCCGTAAATGTGGTTCAAACCAGCTAACAAGCTGTGATGAATACCCACACACTTAACATAGCCCCGCACTAGGGAAACCCTGTGTCGCGGGTGCCATGGATACACACATAGACAATCACGAATTACACTCAAACTCACGAGAGAAATAAATGTAGGCCGTAGAAATGTTTCTTCCTCGTTCGGTTACAGAGGCAGTTAATGTAGTATTAAGTAGCTAATGGTTTCAGTAACACTTTGTGATTTATTTCTTCAAAATCTATTGCTGCTGTTAGGTCGTAATTTTCCAGTGTCATGATGAGTGAAAATCACCACATGTCGAATTATTATTAACCACTTGTATAGCTACAGCTCGACATATACTTAGTTAAATATAGTCCCATTGCTTGGCATATGCCTCTTCTCACAGTGAGAGGGTTTGGGCTGTAGTTCCCACGAGGGCCCAATGAGCATTGGGAATTTCAGACGAATCATTAAAATTATTCCTTACGTTTTCTTCGTCTTAAAACTTATGGTAAATTTCAAATTAAATTTGGCACATGAATTCCGAAAAAATCGGTTTTCAGTACTCAAACAATATTGAAAGAAAAACGCTTTGAATTGGAGAATAGGAAAATCAACCATTAAAATAATTGCTCCTTATAATAAAATTTAGGCGCTATTATAACAATGAATCTTCATGCGTGAACAGCCCTTAGAGGTGGATGATTTTCTTCAAAATTAAATGGAACCACTATGGAGGTACCCTCTTTCCAACAAAAAAAGTATCATGAAAATCGGTTCACAAATACCGGAGTTATCGCGTAACATACATAAAAAAATAAAGGCGAATTGAGAACCTCCTCCTTTTTTTGAAGTCGGTTAAAAACTAAGTGGTGTAAACCCGGGTTCGAAACTACAACCGACTTTTTTTTTCTAATAATATCAAGTGATGGGACTAACAAGTGGTGCGCCTGATGGTAAGCTACACGCCTGTCAACAACAGCAACTTGAGACGTCTCTCACTCCGTTAGGCTACCACGGCTGATTTAGATATAATATACGAGTAGTTCGACGTAGTAAACAAATAATGTTTTTTTTTCTTTTTATAAAACCAGTGACGAGATGAACAAGTCGTGTGCCTGGTGGTAAGCGACACGCTTATCCATTACAGTTGCAGTGCCACTCAGAACTTCCAATTCCAAAGATCTTAGCGGCACTGCCACTGCGCGCGTTACTCCGAGACACAAGTTAAGAAGTCTCATGTGCCTGTAATTTCACCAGCACCCTTACCCTTGAAAACCGAAACGTAATAGGTGATGCTTATATTACTGCTTGGCGGCAGGAATAGGTAAGGTGGGAGTACTTCCCTGGATGAACTCTTTCACAAGGAGCTCTACTGCTACTAAATGTTTATACGGCTTAGAAAAAACAAAACAACGGACAAACGGATTTAACTATATTCATATTAGACATATTAGAGTATATTGGCTATTTTCTGGAGGCAGGTCGGTCGCTACCATGGCTTTTATTTGTTAAACCAAGGTCGCATTTTATTGCCGATTCCTGTCCATTATCCTGCTTATTTGACTTATTGAATACGAGGCACGATATATTTGCGGAAGATACAGCGGTTTGTTTTGGTTACATTTTTTTGGATGATTTATTTTCCTTATGAAAAGATGATAAAATTATGGCTCAAAGTTGGAAGAGCATGAAAAAGTTACTATTTATATCAACTTTGTAAGGAAAATAAGTAAGTAGATATTCGGAACTAAATTATGTCCCCTTTTTTGGAAGTGTCAAATTAGTTACTATAATCTTTTATGTAGTATGTTCCTTATTATATGTGAATATAAACGGTATTTGGTGAAGTCAAGAGTAGATCAAAACGAAAATAGCTATAATAAAACATAAAGCTCGGTTTAAAGTGTATTTAGAGTATTTTTCTATTAACTTTAATGACTAATTTAAATAATCTCAGTACAGAGTTCTCAAAACACCGATCTCAAAAGTTCGTAGAATTTATCTATTTGTCAAGTTTTATTGAAATCGGTTACGGGAAAGTGCGCGAAACCGGATTCATCCCCTACTTTGCCACCTTAGAGGTGGAATATTTTCTTCAAAGGAGAATGGGCAAAATGGACCTGGGAGCGGCCACTTCAAAAACTACTTTCAATCAATAGATATCATTAATACGATCAAAAAATATTATGGGCACCAATACGTAAGTCATCAAGTTTTCGAAATATCTTGAATAATGTTTATTTTTTAATGTAGATACTTAATATTTGAACTTCTGTCTGGAATTTTGTTTGTGTGGTGTGTATGTTAAAAATGATTACCCAAATGGTGTCTTAAGTTTAAAAGGGTTCTGTGAGCTGTGGAATTATGACACAATTTTGGAATCTGGTCCAGTATTTCTTGTTATAATATTTTTTAGGGAATATAAAAGATATGAAATAAAATAAAATATATTGTTTCAAAACTCATTTACTTCGTCTATTATCACTTCATCTAAATATGATG